AAAAGGACGGGTTGAATTCACCTGCAAATATCCTGAAACCAACAAAAATTATCAAGTGATCAAAGTAGCAGTCCCCAAGGGACCGCCGGTACCAATCTCTAGAAACAACGTATGGGAAAAAGTTGGCAAATATTCACTGTACCATGACACACAGCATAAAAGTCTCAGGGTGTCCAGCAGTGACATTGGGGAGTACAAATGTCTATTTTTCGAACAATCTAACTCTGAACCTGTCATAAATGAAATAGAGATTGAAGATGGTAAGAAACTTTTTCCTCATAATTATTCTAACTGTTGTTGTTCTGATTATAGCTGTTGGTGGTGGTTGTGTTTTGTTTTTTTTTTTGGTTTTTTTTTATTATCATAATTGTTGTTTCTGTGGTTATTATTATTGGCATTGATGTTATTATTGCTGCTGCTGTTGTTGTTGTTTTTATTGTTGTTGTTGCTGGTTTTGTTCATCAAAGTGTCAGGACTTGAAAACACTTCAGTTAGAATCCCAAGTTTTCTGATATTCTGGAGAGTCTACGACTTTCACTGTCTGTAAGACAGATTACATGTTGTAATAGAATATAAACCACTAAAACACTTCTCTTTCTGTTATATTTACAGGTAGGAGCTGCCCAGAACCATTTACTCACACTGCGTACACAACAGCTAAAACCACCATCACATGTGGACATGGAGCATTGAAGTCCAATCTTTTCTGCAAAGACAATGATTTTACCTGTGAGGACATTTTATCAACTGAACCTTCTCGAAAGTCAAATGGGAGATTCACTCTCACGAACACAGCTGGTGGCTTCAACGTATCCATCAGAGATGTGTCTTTACAGGATGCTGGTGTCTACTGGTGTGGAGATAAATCAACTCACAGAACTTCCACTTCTAGAGTTTTACACACAAAAGTACATCTGGACGTTAAAAGTGAGTCGTTCACATCTTCAGCCTCTGAGGCTTCATCTTGTGTTAAGGCATGACTAAAAAATGTTTGCAAATATTTGTTTTTTTACAGATATTCCTGTCTTAACACGATATCCAACTATTGGAAACAGCTTCACACACCGTTGTAATTACCAGGAGGGTACCGATGTATCCGCCTTTCCAAAATTCATCTGTAAGGGAGAAGATCCATCCAAGTGTCAACCTCTAGCAAGAAGCACACTGCCTGTTTTAAATAAAAGGTTTTCTTGGACTGATGACAGAAAGGGAAGCATCACCATACAACTAAATAAAGTGACAACAGGCGACAAAGGGACTTACTGGTGTGGAGCAAGAACAAAAGCAGGCAGCAAACTGTTCTTCCAAAAAATCATCCTGAATGTTGGTGAGTCACGTCTGTGTAGATTCTTAATCATCCAGGTCTTGGTAATCCTGAGAACTTCACTAAAAGACAACTGCACTTTCCTTTTTGTTGTTGTTCTTGAAAACGCTTCACTTTTCATCCAAGAGGTTTCCTTGCTTGTCACTGACTTGTGAGGATTCTCAAGTATTTATTCTTTCCCCCAAATCGCATTACTGAAGGAGTGAAGGGTTGTGACATGGCATGGGGACCAGATCTCAGGACTGTGTTATAAGTACCTGATGAGTGTACTTTGTTTAGTGTAGAAATGTCCGAATGTAGAAGAGACCAAATTACCACTTTACAAACGCACATCACATCACAGGAGAGCCAGTTCCTCAGGACACGACTCAGCTGCATCTAAAGGACAGAGGACACTTAATTGGAGACAGCTATGTCCAGATTCTGAACAGAGACGTCAGATGGTTTGAGAAAAGAGTGAAGAAAGGAATTTATGTTCAACTCAAACAGCCACCTCGAGGCAGAGAAAGGGGTTTACAGCACCACTTATCAGGTCCTCACAGTGCAGTCCTGAGATTCCCTGCCAATGGCAATTTTGCAGCCATTCACAGCTCGAGTCATGTGAGTCTCAGGTCAGCCATGAACCATGTCATTTAGGTGTTCTTGCACTTTTCATACTTTGATGTTCTGTCATGGCATCCTGTTAATCTGTCACTGCTTTCATGTGCAACTTCACTGCATTTGTGTTTCCAGCGCCTCCAACAACAACACCTTCTATCATTCCGTCCACATCAGAGCATTCAACGGCGACTTCCGTCCCTTCAACCCCGTCCACTACTGCCATGAGTCAGGGTGAGAAAGTACTTTATTTCCAGAAACCTACAGCAGCTGCAGGAAGAGGAAGCTGTCTGTCTGACTGAAAACATGTCTGTGATTGAATTTCTGTGTATTCAGCGATGCAGACAGTTGTGGATGAAGTTTGTATGTTTACAGTTGGCCGTTGTTCATTTTTACATCTGTGACTTTGTCTTACAGATACCTCTTGGTTAACTGCAGTCATAGCTGCAGTCGTTTGTGTAGTTGTGCTGGTCCTCGTGGTTATTTTGGTTGTTGTTTACAAGCGTAAGTGTTTTCTTTCCCAGCCTGCACATCTACAAACACACACACTTTCTTTTTGGAGGCTGAAGGGCCAGCAAATACTAATTACTGAAATGAATTGATGACTGAATAAATATCAAGTCTGATACAGTCGTCCTCAAATGTATTCATACCCTCCCACTAAAGAAGGAAAAACATCAGCTGTCACTGAAATAATTTTATGAAAATCATGACATTGCTTTTGAATTGTGGTTCAACAGAAATATTAAAAATAAAAAAACAAAGAAGAAGAAAAAAAACAAAAAACAAGCAAACAAGCATGATGGTAAAACTAAACTGGCTAAACTAATATTTAGTTGAACAGCCCTTTGAGCCAATCACTAACTCAAGTGTTTTCTGTAACTCTCAGTCAGACTTCAGCACCTGTTGACAGGTATTTTGATTTCACTGCTCATCAGCAACATGCTCTAATTTGTCCGGAACAGTTTTTTTTTAAAATTACTCTTTTCAACCACAATTCAAAAGCAATGTCTTATTTCACTGAAGTATAATTTAGCAAATTTTTATTTATTACTACTTTTTTCAGTTTCTAGTTATTTGAGTGACTATTAGGAATTTTGTATTTTCTTTAATGGAAGGGTATGAATACATTTGAGGACGACTGTACACTCAAGTATTAGTTTTCAGTGTTGGGACACAATTGTCAGGTCATAAAACCATAATAAATGAATCAAGCAGGTGTTACTCTGTCAGCTGTGGTTGTAAATGTTTGAAATTACTCCACTTGCTTTACTTTTCTTAATTTTTTTTCTTTTGCTCTTTTCCCTTTCTTATATATATATATATATTTTTATTCGTCTGTGTCAGGATTTGAGTGTTCAAATACGAGCACAAATGGAGATGGACCAGACAAGGAGGTACGTGTAGCATCCATACTTCCAGATGTAGACAAAAGCAATTTACCCATACCTGCATGATGCCACAGGCCTCAGTGTTACAGTACTGTTGAACATTATTAACAATAATAATAATAACAATACATATTATTTCGAGGCGCCTTTCTTGGCACTCAAGGACACCGTACATACATTGGACAAATCAAAATAAAAGAAACAACATTAAAATAATTAAAATCACTAAATTAACAGACAAAACAACATGCGTTCAGGTGGAGTAGGCAGTCTTAAACAGATGAGTTTTGAGTTGTGATTTGAATTGTGGGAGTAAATCAATATTTCTGAGTTGAGGTGGTAGTGAATTCCAGAGAACTGGTAGTGAGACGGGCAGAGGGGACGGACAGGTGTATGGAGGAGGAGGATCTGAGGGAGCAGGAAGGAGTGTGAACATAGAGGAGGTCAGAGAGGTACGGAGGGGGTGAGGTTGTGAATGGCCTTAAATGTTAACAGGAGGATTTTGACTTGGATGCGGAACTGAACCAGAGGCCAGTGGAGCTGTTGGAAGACAGGAGTGATGTGGTGGATTGAGGGGGTTCGGGTTATGATGCGGGCAGCTGAATTCTGGACTAGTTGAAGTCTATGGAGGGATTTGTGAGGGAGACCAAAGAGGAGAGAACTACAGTAGTCCAGACAGGAAGTGACGAGACTGTGGATGGCAGCAGTGTGGGGGGAAAGGGAGGGGCGGAGGCAATTGAGGTGGAAGTAGGCAGACCTGGTAGTGTTACTGATGTGGGATTGGAAGGATAATATTCTGTTAAGGACGACACCCAGACGCTTAACCTGGGGGGAAGGTGAGATGGTGGAATTGTCAATTGAGAGAGAAAAGCTGTCGGTTTTGGATAAGGTGGATTTGGTGCCAGTGAGGAGAACCTCAGTTTTGCTACTGTTTAATTTAAGGAAATTTAGGGTGAACCAAGTTTTAATTTCAGAGATGCAGTCAGTGAGGAAGGTGGGCAGAAGAGTGGACGAGGGTTTAGTGGTGAGGTAGAGCTGGGTGTCATCAGCATAACAGTGGAAATGAATGTGAAAATTATGGAAGATATTGCCAAGGGGAAGAAGGTAGATGATGAAGAGGAGGGGCCCCAGGACAGAGCCCTGAGGCACACCTGAAGTGACGGAGGAGGGGGGTGGATTGACAAGACTTGAGTTGGATGAACTGAGTGAGAGGTAAGAAGTGAACCAGTCTAAAGGAATGTGAGTTATGCCAATGGAAGATGGCCTGTGGAGGAGGGTGGAGTGACAGATGGTGTCAAAGGCCGCACTCAGGTCGAGGAGGATGAGGATGGTGAGGAGTCCAGAATCAGCTGCCATGAGGAAATCATTTGTGATTTTGTTCAGTGCTGTTTCAGTGCTATGGAGTGGAACTGTTCATACAGGTTATTATGGACTAGGTGAGAGTGGAGTTGGGAGGCAAATGCTTGTTCGAGGATTTGGAGATGAAGGGCAAAGTGGAGATCGGACAGAAATTGTTGAAGTTGGAGGGGCACCAGGCTTTTTCAAAATTGGGGTAATGGCAGCAGTTTTGAAAGCTGTAGGGACAGTTCCAGTGGTGAGAGAGGAGTGGATGATGGCAGAAATGAGGGGGACCAGAGAGGGGAGACAGACTTTAACAAGTTGTGTGGGGAGGGGGTCCAGTTGACAGGTGGATGGCTTGGATTTTCGGATCAGTTCAGTGAAATCTGAGAGAGTGGGGAGATGGAAGGAGGAGAATGAGTGTGTGGATGGGTGAAAATCAAATGAGTGGTGAGGGATTGATCCAAGGTGCTGGTGGATGTTTTTGATTTTTTCAGTGAAAAAGAGCATGATGAGTTGCAGAAAGAGGCTGTGTACAGGTGAGGAGGGAGAGAATCTTTGGGCTGGGTGATGTTATTAAGTATGGAGAAGAGTGACTTGGAGTTTCCTTTATTAGCTGTGATTATAGTGGAGTAGTGGTGGGATTTGGCGCTGGCAATAAAGTCGTGTAGGATATGGTTATTGTACATTTCTTTGTGAATAGTGACACCAGTTTTTCTATAGAGACGGGGCTGACATAATGGCTGACATTTCCACACTTACACAATACTGCATGATTCACGAAGATTATTTATTCCCAAAAGTATCTTCACGTCTCAGTCCTCAACCATTACATTTTTTCTTAACCCTATATAGGACTTTTGGGGTCTTTTGGACCCCAGGCCATTTGGTTTAAGCGACAGGTATTGTTTTTTCTATTTTGAAGATCTGTTTTTTTAATATAAAAAGAGGAACATTTGTCATGCATTTGGATGCAAACATACGTCAACTTATCAGGAAATGTATTTAGCACAGTATAAAAGTCTATAATGAATACCAACAAATATTTTTCACATATTCTTTCCTGGGGTCCAATGGACCCTGAAAGACCTTCTACGTATGGCAACATGAAAGTCCTGGATAGGATTAATGATCTGTAATGTCCAGCACAATGGCAGAGAATCTGAAGACAGTTTGACGTCTTGTCTTCCTGTCTGTCTTTATCATCTTCAGTATGTTCACTGCATGTCGATGGGATCAGATATTAACTGTTTTCCGTCTGCTTTTCATTCTGGAAGGCTTTCTATGACAAGATACAAGAGTC